TATTCTCTCGAGAGACCTTTTAGGCCTAATATGCCGGCACGTCTATCCTCTAACAACGTAGAATTACTAACACGATCGACTAATTTTGCGATCGTGTCCTCCACAGATTGGTGCTGTCCTTTATCACCAAGAAGTCCTTTGTATCCTCTGCTAAAGAAATCCATTTTGCTTTCGAGGAGGATCGCTGGAATCAATTTACGTCCCACTGAACATAGAACATAAATACATATGATTGACATCAAAAAATTTACACGGGACAACACGGGACAATAAATGATTGGCAGATGGATAGAAGGCTGTGTTTCCGGGCACACATGGGAACCGTTTTACAATATTTACGTAGTTTATTGATACAAAAGTAACACTGGTAGAGCTTTATTATAGATTTCCAGTATATATAAATTCTTAAGAAAAAATCATGTATATTTCAACAAAGAATAAAGATTGCTCGACAGAACGATCAATAAAATCATTCGTTCACTAATGCAACTGCGTCAATTTCAACCTTAACATCTTTAGGCAACCTGGCTACCTCAACACACGCTCGGGCAGGTCGGGAGTCACCAAAAATCTAAAAAGTCGATATAAATCATTGCTGAGCAGGAGCACACCACTCAAATACTCTTCGCCTTGCTAAATAAAAATTAATTTTCAATAAATATTAAAAAAAACCTTACTTCGGCATAAGTTTCGTTGATGGCAGAAAAATCATTCATATCTTTTATATAGACGGTAGTCTTGACTACTCGTGAAAGCGAGGAATTTGCTGCTTCCAATACATTTGAAAGATTACGAAGGGTCTGACGCTTTTATGTAAAAAAAAAATGGTTAGTTAAAAGTATAATGGACTATGTCATATAAAGTTGATCTACACGTGTTGCATACCACTTGCTCTTGAACATGGTCGCTGACGATATTGTTTGTCTCAGGATTGACAGGAATTTGACCTGACGCAAAGACAAATCCGTTTGCAACTATGGCTTGAGCTATTTTGTCACAAAATAAAATATTTTAAATGGGAAATCATACTCATAATGAACAACAAACCGAACTTATGATACTAGATCTCGAAACCTACAGTATGGGCCTATGGCGGCAGGAGATTTATCAGTGCTGACGACTCGGAGAGTGCTCATATTCCTCGAAAATCGAAGGTGAGAGAGCAACATCCCAGATCTGATCATGATAAGATATGGAGACCGGTCCAACAATTCCCCCGCCCACAAAATGAATTTAAATGATTGCCAAATGTGGTCAAAAAATGTGCGGACGCGTGAAAATCTGGCGTGTTCAACCAACTTAAAATCATCTAAGCTTTTTTTTCTATACATGTCATTCTTACATTGCCTCAAGCACTTCTTAGCCTAAAACGAACCTATGGCGAACACTGTGAGAAGAATTTACTGGACCCTGGTGTTTGTCGTCTCTTTAATACCTTTATTAGGAGCTTTTTATGGCTCACGAAACGAGAGTCCATATATCCATTGGCTAGGCTGTATTGGCTTCATTTCAGTTTTAACATTAGGATTATGCTTCTTTGTCTCGTTTCATTTATGTCGTTGCTGTGCCCCCTTTGTCATTGGGATATTGAGCGGAGTATGCATATTAATTTCTATTACATCAGTTATATTATCATTATCATCAATTAAAATTTGTACACGGAATCGCCCTTTCAGACGAGCAGAAGTTTATCCCCGATTGTTAAGTACCTAAACAAAACCAGATTTCTTGGACCGCTATTATCTTGGTGTATCCGATCCATATTTTTTTTTTGGTTTATCGTGCTGATAGTAAGCGATGTGTTGATTCGTAAAATTTTGTCAAGGTAATTAACATGCATACATGTATTTCCCAGTACTCGAGCATGAAATCAAGTATCATTTGTTGATTGAACAGGACTGCCGGAGTACATGAAAGCACCGGTTGCCATTTTAGCCCGATCGGCGCCTCAAACAAGAATTTTCAACCCTTGGGATTATTCGATGACCTAGAGGACGTCGAAGAAACAAACAAATCAAAGGTACACGAAATCTATCATGGCAACTATAATCAAAAGGTCTCTTTATCTTTGGCAATGGCCTCGAAGTTAGCTTATGAGGACGTTCCCATAATTAGGCATGAATTGGAAAAGTCGGGTTATGACATGAAGACTTTCAAGCCAATCGCCTACAAGGTCAGCAAATTCTTCATGTCTTTAATATTCGATATGTTTTCCTTTGTAGTCATATGACGATCTATTCTTGTAGAATATTTGTGGATACATAGTAGAAAAGAAGCTAGAAAAATACGATGTAATAATAGTGGTGTTCAGAGGGTCGAATCCTCTAAACGTTCAAAATTTTTTAACCGACATCAGATCTTTGCTCGTACCAATAAAATCACCTACAAGGGGATGCATGGGACTGGTTCACGAGGGATTTTATGAGGCCTTGGGAGAACACGTGGATGACTCGATTCGTGGTTCCGGCTCACAGGCCATTATTGAACTTTATAATACTTCACTGGTAAAAACCCTTGAGACAACAATTAGTGCATTGAAGACGCTCTTGTATTTTGTGTTTAAAAGTGTGATCGCCCACATTCAAGATCCAATCGATCACAGATATCTAGGGGAGGAAGAGAGGCATTTTAGCGCGTACGCTCAGGCGTCAAATTGGATAATGAAATTGTGTAATGGGTGCAATGAAAACAACACAGATAACTATTTGTTCAAGGATAACATCCGAGAACAACGTGTGTTTAAAACGACAAAGAAAAAGTTGTATGTGTAATGGATCAATTCAGCCAAAGATCATCGATTTCGATGTACAAATATTAACATCAAAATTTTTATTTCCAAAGATTTGTCACTGGACATAGCTTGGGTGGAGGTCTAGCCACAGGTACGATGTGTTATTAAATCATTGAAACGCCTCAATTGGAACTAACGCAAAACGTCATTCTATCTAATCCCCAAGTCTTCATAGCTAAATTGTTACAGCATGACAATTCGCTTTCCAACATTTTATCCGGAGTATACACGTATGTATTATATGATTCAAATTTTGAACATTCTATCTGAATTTCGGATAAATCTGTCGATAAATTTGTGATTTTAAAAGTTATGGTCAGCCTAACGTAGGAGACATCCAATTCGCGGAATCATTTGGACCGGAGCTCAGCAAGAAGATGTTTCACCACACTTACAACAATGGTAATTTGTACTTTGCTTGGTGCCGAATACGCCTTTAAAAAAATGTTCACAAATATTTTTATCTCTAGATTGTGTTCCACGAATTCCACCATGGAAACCATATTGCAGTCCTCCTGGAAATTTGGTATATATAGACTCTTCATATTCTATTTACATATATCCTCCAGATCCAATCACCAGTATGCCAGTTTTAATACGTGGAATATCATTCGTTCACCTATCCGGATTACTAAATCTTAACGTCATAAGAAGAATGATGAACGAAAGTTGGTTAAGAATCCTCTTTCGAATAGTGTAAGTCTATAATTATTGTTTGACATTAAGTAAGCACATATGATTAATCCTCAGCTTTTTACAATATAGGTTTCCATTTTTTGTCAACGACCACTTTCCGGGCGATTATGCGGTAGCCCTAAGGGATGGAACCGTTGAAAGAGTTATTAGAGAAATGAATGGGATAGGCGGAATAGAGGAAAGTTAGAGGTGTTGCTTAAAATTGACAATTACGTAATTAATGATAAATCACAGTCTACCCTCGTTTTTATAACTCATTATTATTAAAAACCCCTACATTGATATGCATTATTCTAATTATATTGTAATTATTATTATAGAAAATTTCGTTTACGTTATTTACCTTAGAATTATACTAAAGTCCAAAATGTAGTAACAATTGACATTCTTTATTTATTATTTTTTTATTTTATTTAATTGACTCATTTGTTCTTTTTAGTGAATTATTCTTTACTATGTTTGAAACAGAATCTTTTATTAAAAAATTTGGTATCATTCTTTATTTTCACCTTTGCTTTCATCTCAACCTTTACTTTCATCTCAATTTTGATTTTCTCTATTCTAATTTTCATCATTGCTTTTATTTCAACCTTTATCTCCATTTCAAATTTAATTTTTATTTCAATCTTTATTTCCATTTCAATTCTTATTATCTCTGCTTCACCCTTTATCTAATAAAAATGAATTTAAAAAATTTTTTTATTAAAACGAAAAAAAAAAACAGTTTATAAATCTGTTGAAACTATTAAAAATAATTTAAAATAAACTGACTAAGCTATTTAATAAAGTTCAAAAAAAAAAATTTTTTTTATTATTATATTGCTTAAACAATTAATTAATTAATTAAATGATCAATTAAACAAATAAATTTTATTGATCTGTAGTGATGAACTGCAAGCAATGAACTTAAATTTTCTGAAGATAAGTAAGCAACTTTATTTATCTTTAAGATCATACTTAAAAATTGACAATCAAAGACAAGTATTCAAGTATCATCTTAGTTTATGCATAAAAGTTCTATACTAGTATGTTTTCAACTTCTATGATTAAATAAACACAATAAATACTTGTTTAATTATAAAAAAAAAATAAAAAAAAATAAAAAATAAATTTTGTTAATTCAAATTATATTATTAATTATCAAATTATAGTTAAATATCTTTAAATTTATTAATAAAAATATATTGTATATCAAAGTTTTATTGTCTTATTCAATTTATATTTTCTAATATTAATATATTATAAAAAAATTTTTATTAATATAATTACTATTATATAATATTTAACAAAAAATTTAATCAATTTATTATAAAAATTTAATATAATATAAATTAATTTTTTTTATAATAATTTGATTATACATATTGTTAAAATTCCTAAATCTTTAATGTAATTGATATAACTATTTAATATAATCAATTAAGTCACTATTAAAACATAAAATAATTGAATTATAATATTTTTTTTTTAAGAATTTTGAAATTAAATTAATAACAAAATAAATTATGTTGCATATATAAATTTAATATAATATTTTTTTTTTAGTTCAAATCAGATTGCAAACCTATTAGTTTATTAATTCTATTTGCTAGAAAACAATTATATATTTGTATTAAAAATATTATAATAAAGCTAAATTATTGTATTGCTATGTTATAAGCCTAAGGTCTCTAAATATGATAATGGAGAATAAAATATTGCTTAATTTTATTCTGATACTTCTATCAATCTAAAACATTACAGTCAGCTCTCATTCAAAACTGTCACTCTTACATTATTACTATAATCTTATAGAAATAAAAAATTTATTTTTTTAAGAAATTAAAAGTAGAAAGAAAAATAAAAAATGAAAGATTTATACTAATAAAACAAAAATTCTTTTTGACTACTATCTAGTTTAACCACCTGCAACTGGAAAACTATTTAATTTTTATTATTTCATTGTTTGATCAAAAATGTTAAAGGATATTTTCAAGAAAATATTTCTTGAAACTTTATACTCAAAGACTTCTAACCTTTAAAGAAGGTTGATATTTTAATTGATAATTTCTCTTTTAACTACATTGCTGAAACTGCCCAATTTTTATAAACATCACTACTTAATTGTCACTTAATAGTTACTTAATAGTCA